TAATGGTTGGTTTGACCAAGAGTGTAGAGCCTTTAAGAGAAAATTAGCTAAACAAGCAAGGCTCACTCGTCATTATAAGGATGCATTTAGGGTCCAACAGTTAATAGAGCTCAGTACAAATACTTGCTTAAAAGTATGAAAGTGATGCATGCTAGATTTTTATGGAAAGAACTAGCTCAAGCTGTCTTTGAGAGGAAGGATGCTCAGTTCTGGGAACTGGTAACACCAAGTCTAGGTAGACCCCCTCAGCTAGAGGCTCAAATCCCCGGGGAAATCTGGCAAACTCATTTTTCCAAAATCTATGAATCCACACCACCTGCCTGTAAGTTATTAGATGACAGGATGCCCGAGGAAAAGAATGGGAATTCTGTCACAGTTCATCCAGCACTCCCTGAGTGGCCCCCTGTGACAGAAGCCGAAGTACGATCTCGTTTCATCTTTAGCTTCCGGCAAAGTACCAGGAGAGGACTTAATTCCCATTGATCTAATAAAAGCGTTCCCTAATTGGTGGAACCCGATTCTAGCCAAATTATTCTCTCAAATTAACAGCACAGGCACATTTCCTGTAGGATGGAAAACTAGTATAGTAATTCCTATCCACAAAAAAGGGGATAAAACCAACCCAAACAATTATTGTCTCATAAGTCTTTTGGACACGGCATCCAAATTCTATGGAAAGTATCTTTCCCAGAAACTAGAGGATTGGGCTAATGGTAACCACATTCTACATCCCCATCAAGCCGGCTTTAGAAGAGGCCAAAGTACATTGGATCATTGTCAAACGCATTGTCAAATCAGCTGGCTTATACCAACATGAATGGTCCTACTAAAGCCATATGTGTGGTTTTTGTCGATTTGGCCTCAGCTTTCGATTCTATTGATAGGACCCGTTTGTGGGAGAAGCTTGTGAAGACAAATATCAAAGGAGATTATTGTTCCTAATCCGGGAGCTACACACAGATACAGTCGTCAAAATCAAAGTAGGCATTTCGGGTTCTTTAACGAGTGAAATACCTATAGGTAAGGGAGTGAAGCAAGGATGTGTTTTAGCCCCCCTACTTTTTAATGTATATGATATAGCACAGAGACTGTCAGGCCCAGAATTTATTGCACCCTCTTTAGGCTAGCAAAAAATATCAATCTTATTGTATGCTGACAACATGGTACCAAATTCTTTAACAAGAATGGGATTGAAGAAGCTTTTGAACTGTCTAGGCAACTATTGTAAGGAGGAGAAACTTACCATAAATTATGGGGAAACTAAAGTAATGGTTTTCCAAAAGAGGCCAAGAAAGTTCCGATGGAACATACAGGGTGTCCCAATAAAGTAATGCCAATCTTAGAAACACCTGGGTTTATACCTTTATTGAAACCCTTAAATAGGATACCCATATAGAATCTACTAAAGCTTTGGCCCTTAAGACAATGGGAGTTGTAATGAGATTCTGCTACTCCAGGAGATGTTTTCTTATAGACCCAGCACTGAAATTTTTTGTTAGTAAAGTAATTTCTCAGTTACAGTATGGCATCAAGATATGGGGATGGAAAGATAATTTACTCTTCAAGTTAGAGACACTTCAAAACCTATTTATGAGACGTATCCTGGCACTTCCAAAAGGAACACTGGCTGCCCTGTTACGAGCTGAACTGGGACTTCCATCAGTGAGGGTTCGAGCCCACTTGATGATTTTAAAATTCTGGGGGGAAAATCCAACTAAAAAGTCCAGATGCATTCAGTAAACTTAGTTACCATCTACTGAATGACAAAGATAAAGCTCACCCTGAATTTTCTAATTATATCATTACTAGATAACACTGTTCCAGATGACCTGCTACAACATACAGGGAACAATACTAACCTACGCGAATGGATGTTTAGAGAGGATGCACTAATAGAGAGGATGCACTTTGATCTCCCAATCAAGGTTTGCTCCGTGGTTTAAAATAATTAAAAAGGATCATTCCAGAGCCTCTTATTTAAACAACATAACCTCGTATAATCTCAGGAGGTTCCTTACCTCAGTGAGTTTTCAAATTATGCCTTCGGAGATGCTAGCTGGTCGCTATAAGAAAACCCCAGTAGACCAACGTATCTGCATATGTGGGCAGTCAGTGGAAGACCTTCCCCATTATATTCTGGCCTGTCATTTATACATAGAACCCAGGGCCAAATTTTTAGCAAAGATACTGACAGCCCTATACCTCCTGTCTGATTATGATAAGATGGCCTTTATGCTCTCAGATGAGGACCCCTTCATCTCTTCAAAACTGGCTCTCTTTGCCTTGGCCGTGAGAAAAATTAGAGCAAAGAAATCAAATAGTACCATCGCAACTGAGTATTCTTAAAAGGTCTTATCGGATTTAAATATTATAAGCTGAGGTAGTTTTAACAGGTTTTATACGTTTTATAGAGGTTGAATTTTTATCATATATTATGCACAAACTCTCTGAGAGTATTTGATATTGTGAAGGCCATATACAATAAAATTATTCTGATTCTGATATTTGCCCATGCTTTCCAGTGTACATGAGTTTAGCCCCTATAGTTCAACCCAACTACAGTAAAACTAACATTTACGTTGTATGAAAGAAGTCTGGAGCAGTAAGACTGACATCCTATCCTCCTGCAGAGTGCTGGAGGTTGGACTAGATGACCTGCAAAGTCCCTTCCAACTCTAACATTCTATGATTCTATGATTCCTAGCAAGCTAGTGCCACATGAACCAGTTAAGTATTCAATGGTACTTTTTTGAGAGGTCTTAAAAAGAATAACACGGTTTGAGTCAAAATTTGAGAAGCCTAGCAAAAACAAAAGTATAAGAAATAAAATATTAGCTATAGTTGCTGTATATCTTGTTGGAAAGCTGGAATCTGCTGTTTTTGACCACAGATGCTAAACGTGGATGTTCAGATATTCTGTGATGTAGCAATACAGACTGTCTATGGCTTTAAAGGGCTTGAACATCCCTGGTTTTAAATCAATTTGTCTTGTCTGCCAACATTCAAAGGCTTGGTGGATGGATGGACAATATTTTGTGCATTATCTGAATTTACTCAACGCCTTAATAGATAATCTATTACCTAGATAACATGTCAAAGCATTTATTTCCTATGCAGGCAAAAGAGGGTGGTAATTTGCAATAAGCATGGTAGGAGCTTTCCAGGGACATCAACACACTATTCTCCATGAAACATATTAGCAAACACACATACCTAGAGAATCTGGCAATTCTGCAAGGCTAATACAAACCAACAAGAGATTCTCAGTGCTACAGCCACTTTACAACCAGCCCCTAATCTTTTTAATAGGTGCACTGAATGCCCATCCCCCGAAAAATGCAACAAAACCCTCAAAATATTGGGATTTAATAGTGATTAGCAATGAAAAATACTTCCAATTGAAATACTTTCAGTTAGAGGAACTGAATCTAAGGATCAGAAGACAACATCCTAACCTATACACATTATAGTATATCTATCAATTTACAGATTTTAGGCAAGATATCCCATCCCAGGTAGGCTGTGCCAACGTTCATCATGTTAATATAATCATGGGAGTGGACAAATGTCCTCCTAGGAATCAAATCCCATAGCTCATCATCCAGTGTAATTCTTTAGCATCTCCCATTCAAATGTGTTCAGGAGTCCAACTGCCCCTTTGTTCTCCTCCCCACCACTCTGCTCATTTTAACCCATCCTTCAGGAAGTGAATGGAACTTTTTTTTTAAACAAAACTTTATTGGTAATAGTTTCAAATATGTTTACAACAAAGCACACTGTTAAAGAGAAAGTAGGGATTGTTTTGAACAAGTTTTGTTGGATTACATAGAAGTGTTTGTTTTTTCCTCCCGAGGTAGGGAGGAAGTGAGGATTTAGCTCCCCTTCTCCCCATCCCAGCATAGAGGGGCTGATGAGCTTCTCGGTGGGAAGAAGATGATGAGTAGAAGGGACAAGTAAAGCTTGTCTGCTCCTGACAGCGCTTCTGTATGTGTGATATAATTCATCTACCAATCTAAAGAAGCCTACTCTGCTCCCCAGGCATGAAAAGAACAGAAGAAAACTAAACTGGTGAGTACAGAGAGTGTGTGTTTGGGGTGAGATAGGTGAAAGACAGAACACAAAGAGGCATTGCTTTGGAAAGAGGGAGAGGCAGAGAAGTCAGAACAAAGCAATGGAGGAAACGAGTTGTCCTCCATCTGCACTCGGAGCTCCCAGCACATTCATGTCTCTCAGAGGGAAGACTCTAAACAGATTCTAACTCTCATTCCAATTGGACATCTCCTTTGACAGCATCACACTGGCTTGCCCAGAGTAGATGGGTCTTTCTGACACTTTGTTCCTAAAGCTCCTTTACGCCACGGCTAGGACAACTACTCACCCCGTCATTTGAAAATGAACAACAGAGCAGCTGGATGGAGCGTTCCCCTCCCCCAAGAACTGGAGTAACGGAGTTTCTATCAATAGACTGGATTATCCTTGTATTACTGAACAGAGACTGGTGTCTGGGTTGAGCAGCCTGGACCGTATGTGCCCTATGCAGTTCACCTGCAACTCTCCAGCCTTGCCCCATATCCTGACTGTTATCAAGAGGGACAAACCCACTCAGAATTGAAGACTAATGGTGGCAATGAGCTAGATATTCTTTGATGTTCAGACAGGATGGTCTAGATCCTGCTTCTTTCTTCTCATTCAGACAGATGCTGCAGGAGTTGCCAGATGCAGTGGAGCTGATCTGGGAAGCATTTGGCATGGGGGAGGGAGAAGAGAAGGGAAGGGAAGCACATTTAGGACAAAAATCCGACGAAGTTCCATTTTACTATTCCTGGACTGCCTATCAACCAATCACTGCCCCTCTCTTGCAGGTATGATTATTTATGTCCCCTTTCCCTAAAACAGGGTCCAAAGATCAGAAATAAAGTGTTTCTATCCAACAGAAGAAATCCTTCATGCTAAAACTCAGTTGTTTAACAGAGTTGAAATTCCTGCGGAATTTAAGCATATAAAAGTCCCTCCCTAAATTGTTAAAAACCTTTTTTTTTTTTTAAGCCAGTCTTTAAAGTTAATAAAAGGAGCTTGGAAAAAAATAATATTGATAAAATGACAGGGTCATCCCACAAAGGAGGTGACAGGGTTGGGCCATTAACCCATTTAGTGCCAGTCTGAACACCAAAGTGCTATGTGGTTGTGTTTACTTTCTCTCCCCTCCTTCCCTGAAACTCTTACAATGCCCTATGAAACAAACTTTTATAGTTGGTGATGAATGGCAAAATATCCCCTTTCCCTAAAAAAATTATATAAAGCCACCAATAAACTAGGGACTGTCTGATTAGGGTTTGTGTATGGACACAAGTCAGTGTGAGGGAGGAAGGGAATTTGTTTAAAACTTGCCTGAGAGTGGCTGGGAGCCACCTTCTAGCTTGTGGTGGGAGGCAGGTGGATAGCACTCAGGACTACTGCCTTTTCCACAGCTTTAAAATGAACTCCCCATTTCACTTTTCTGCCCAAACAGATCCAGATGAACCCCAACAGCCTCCCACCTCTTAAAAGTAACACATAGGCAAGGAACTCTGGCCCTCGGGGCTGATCAAATTCAGCCCTTCCTTTTCCTGGGCACACAAAGCAAGTGGCCTGCAAAGGGGGCTGGCCCTAAAACTCTGAAAACTCCTTGGCGCACTTCTCAGTGATGGACACCCGAATCTCCTCCTCCTCATAGTCATCAAAGTTACTTGTGTCTCCAGCTCCTTTGCACTTTGGTATAAAGGGAGCTTCCACCTGCAGAAGGAAGGAGACAATGGGAAGAGTCATTATGGGTTACATCTTCATGGGTTTATGAATCATTTGCTGTGAAAACTAGGCTCCAGTCATTAAGGTAAGCCCTTTATTTTTTTAAAAAACAGGGGGTATAGACATATGGATGTTAATCTAACCAACACTGAGAGCAAAACAACTCCACATAAAGCATCTCAGAATCCTAACAACGTTGACTAATGCAGCCAAATTCGCAGAGATGGCCAGCAACAACTACAGTTTATGGTAGGTAAATGGAACCCTGCATGTTCAAAGGCAACACACACTGAGTGGAAGATGCTGATGATGACATGAAAAAAGCTGTTTTTGGGCATTCACAGGCATTTCATTTGTAGCTACTGGAAACATGATGTTGGAACAGATGGAGATTTCAGTCTGCTCCATAAGCTACTTCTTGTATTCTTAAACTTCTTCAAAAGTGAAGCTGTTACCAGCACAGATTCTGCAGGGCGTTACCTGGATTCCTGGCCCTTCTTACAAATAACTGATAATCAGAGCTGCTGAAGGAGGGAGAGGCACAACAAAGCGTACAAATTTCCCCAGGCCCAGCTTATTCTGTGAGACTGAGAAGCTATGTTGTTCTATATGACTGCCTTGCAAAAGTTCCAATTGAATGCTTATGTTGGTGCACTTATGTACTGAAAGCACTAGGGGGCGGTGCAGCAACAGCTATTGCGCATGGCAGGCAAGAGAGGGGACTAGTACAGCTTCTGGTTTCCATTTTTGAGGCGAATGTAGCAAATACTTGTTTTGCTGAGCGAGGCTCATCCCGTTCCAGCCCATCAGCACTGGAAGGAGAGAGGACCAGCCAGCCAAATTCACAGCCACCACCAGGGAACAGAATCCTAAAGCAAGGCAGATCTCTCCGTCTTCTTCTCAGTACTTTCTGGATAGAATGCCTGGAGCAACATCAGTAGTCCAGCCCACTATTAGCAATTTGGTGAGTCGAGTTTCCCCTCCTCCTTAAGCACTACCAGGATGCATATGCTTGCTAGGAATGGTCCACAACTCTTTCACTGCCTCCTGCTTTTTGAATTACTATAACAGATGTCTGTTAACCAAGTTGTCCAGATAAAGTGCCAGGTAACACAGTTTTTTACTGTAATTACAGAATTAGAAGAGTATGTTCTGGGGAAAAGGTGGTATCTTTTTAATGGAAACTTTATTGAGATTGGGGAGGAGGAAAACAGGTTCTGATGCAATTGGCTGAAACAAGCAAAACTTTAATCATCATCTTGAGTTGTATGAGAAAACTCTCTCTTCTATTTTACATGTAAAACACAAGCAAGATGAGATCTTATATTGGATCCATTTTTGTAGGTGAAATATTATGCAGTGTTTGGAACTTTTCATCAGAATCTGCCTTCTGCCAAGAATTTATTGAAATATGTATATCCTGCCTTTCCTTGTGTGTAGGTCAAAATCATGCATGTGGTTAACAAAAATACAGTCATGCATAGCATGCTTCATCCACTTTACAACTCTCCTCCCACCAGCATTCTGTAGAATCTGAAATAACCTAATATGGAGAAAGCAGACTGGACTTTGGTGTGAATGGGAAAGCAGCTGCATATCTGCCCTTGTACATAGCCCAAATAAAATTAAGAGGAAAGGGTAAGGACAGGCTGCAGTGACAAGGGAAAGGTGCTCTGCACATGATTTGGATCATTTTATTACTACAACTCCGATGGATACCTTGGTCTCATCAAATTCCCTTATGAATGAGTCACTGCTGTCCTTTTGTCTTGTCACCAACTTGTTCCCTTTTCCTATCTTGCCTCTGCCATTCCTTGGGGACAAGTTATAATCAAGCATCTTGCATGTGTGCATCTGATTCTGAAAGGAAACCCAAATGTGCAAGGAGGAGGCAGCCTAGAGATAATCTTCAGAATCACATATCATTTATCTATTGCAACTGCATTCCTGGGAAGCACTTCTCCCCGACAGAGAAGCAACTTTTATGTAGGAAAATGTTGGATATATGGTTCAAAAAGCCAGTGCTTGCTTGGTGTGTGTAGTACTGCTAAACCCCAACAGGTGAATTTGGTATTACATTTTTAGGAATATAACAGAATTAACCTTTGCTTTGGAAGAAAGCCTGTGGGCAACGACAACAAGCCATTTTTGCCTGTCTCCTCCTGCTCACGCTTACCTTCCGCTGGTAGATGGCAATCCAGTCGGTGGTAGAAAACCATTTGTGGTTCTTGATGTCGTTGACTCCATTTTTCAGGTTGCCATAGCGTTTGGTAAGGTCCACCTGGAGCAAATTACGCAACAGGTCCTTCAGGTCTGAGCTGAAGTGAGATGGGAAGCGAACCTGAGGGGACAGTGGGAGAAGTCAAGAAACAATCTTTCCGCTCTCTGAAAGAAATCTGACAGTCACAAGAGGAAAGAAGAAAGGGCTATTGTTCCACAGGCAGGGATAATATTCCAGGCTTGTTGTCAAGTGCATCTTACGGATTCCCTAGAATCACAATTTTATTTTTACAAGGGCTTCCAGTTCTCACAGATGCAGAAATAGAAAGATTACGATGGCATTTTAAAAATATTCCAAGGAAAAAAAGGTAAGCAAACGTTTCAGTGACCACAAAAAGACACACCTTCCTTTTCTAAAGCTTGTCCCTATCTCTCCAAGGTCTCAACTTACAACCTATCAATATATCCCATGAGTTCCACTTCCCACCCACTCCACCTCCACTATCTTGCTGTGTTAATTCAAAGTCCCTAACAGAGCAGACGAGGTTCTGCTAACAAGTGTTAATATGCTAATACCTATTCTATTATGCTGAACACCCTCTAACACAAATAAAATGTAATTGATTTATCAGATCAAATAATTAAGCATTTGTATAATACATGTGTCTGGTGTAAATGACAGTGCACCCGGTGAACTTTGGAGGTTGGCGTTTCCATTTCCTGAATTTGAGTTTTGCTGTGCAGTGAATCAAGCTGTAAAATAATGTTGGGAAAATCTGTGGACTAAAAGTATTAGAGTCACTGCTAGCCAAGCATTAAGAGAAAACTGGTACAAGATGTTTTACCAATGGTACATCACTCCAAAAGATATTGTGAAGATAGATAAGAATTACAAAGGGGCTTGCTGGAAATGTAAAAAATGTGGTAGACTTGCATCAAGACAAAAAGATACTGAAAAATATACATGAAGAAATTCAAAATATTCTAAAAACCAAATTCCTGATGAAACCAGAGACTATGTTACTGGGAATCCTATCAGATAATAGAGACAGAACCTCACAAGACCTACTGAGATATATGTTGACAGCTGCCAGAGTAATAATTGCAATGAAATGGAAGACGGAAGACTGTACTACAATAGAGACCTGGAAAGAAAAACTAGCTGAGTATGCAACATTGGCAAAACTAACCAATTATGTAAACAAAAGACCATTGAAAGAATTGTAGCAGAAATGGCAAGCTTATTATACTATGGGAATAATTAACTTTTTTTTAAGTTCTGGAATTACTTGAATATCATATTAAAGGTGATGAAGATATTTATTATAGTTTCAATACTTTATTCTGTATCCCATTAGTAATTTCTCGGACAGTGGTACCCCAATTGGGGGCCGCTGGCAGTTATTGTAAACAACTTAAGTCCATCTGATAAATTGAAGCACTTTATTGTTACTGCTAATTGTAATGTTTGATTATTTTTAAAAGTTTTACTGGTTTTATATATGGGCTATGCCCCTTTGTAAGCCGCCCTGAGCCCGCTTGCGGGGAGCGCGGGGTAAAAATCTTTAAATCAATAAATAAAATAAATAATTAGAATAAAATTGAGATAAACAATTAAGACAATATTAAGGTTATTACAATGATTTAATTTTAACATAGAAGTTCATTCAGTTGATAAAGATGTAGTCTCTTATCGTTAATAGATTATTGCTAACTTTAGGAAAGTTCTTGTTTATTCTTTAAAGAGAGAATCTATTCCAAAATTCTGTAATATTGATGTTTTATTGGCTGCTTCTATATTTGAAATATGTAATACATTTGGTAATACATCTGATTTTACTTGTTGTATGTAACAACTCATAATATTTCACAAACCTGATGAATCTATATTTCCCCCCTACCCCTTCTTTATACCACCTTTTTTTTTTTAAAGAAAATAAGAAAAAATATTTTAAAAAAAAGCTGTAAAACAAAGGCCTGGGCAATTCACATAAATTTCCTCCAGTTTTCGGACTTACGGTTTTGGCGTTCGCCATGGCTGCTACTTATCCCCGGATCTCCGGGAGACAGTAGCCAGAGGCCGCGGCTAGGAGGGGGCGCGATTGTTCGCGCCACCCCTGGAGCCCTTGTGATGGGTTCCTAGCCATGGGGTACTAGAAGAAGAAGAAGAAGAAGAGATTGGATTTATATCCCGCCCTTCACTCGGAGTCTCAGAGCGGTTTACAAACTCCTTTCCCTTCCCCTCCCCACAACAGACACCCTGTGAGGTGGGTGGGGCTGAGAGAACTCTGGCACAAACTGCTCTTTCAAGGACAGCTGTGCCAGAGCTTGTGACTGACCCAAGGTCACATCAGCAGGTGCAAGTGGAGGAGTGGGGAATCAAACCCGGTTCTCCCAGATTAGAGTCCACACACTTAACCACTACACCAAACTGGCTCTTCCACTGGCTCACTAGAGTGAGCTCTTCCACTGGAGAACCGGCCGGAAAAGGGGGGCTCCTCTATGTCCCAAAGGTCCTGCTGCAGAGCGTCCCAAATGGGAAAAGGAATTGCACACCGGAACAAGCGTTTGGTGGTCGAGCGAAATTAAATTGAAAGCGGATCTAATGTTGAACTGTGATTTGAGTTAAATCAAGAATCACCGAAAATCTAAGCCAGGAACTTCCCTTTAAAAGCGAGGGGAGGCACTCTCCCCGATAAGAAAGACTAAGCAATTTTATGCTATAACGAAAAGGGGAGTGAACGATTGAAGCAAGATAGACTGAATTAATAAGCATTTAAGAACTTACCAAGCGTATTAAGGAGTATCAGAGACTGTGATAACTTTTACAAAAAGTAAACAATCTCTAAAAAAGGCGCCCACAAGGAAGTATGAGAAGGAAAAACAAGTTAAACCAAAACTTCCTGTCGGACCTGCTGGACCAGCGAGTCCTGCCCCTAGACAGGACACAACTGAAGAGCTACAAAATATGCTAATGGAAGCATTGCGACCCCTGCTGGAGCAAATAACAGCATTGCACGGCAAATTCGATGCACAGCAACTGCAACTGGCTGAGATAGCCAAAAACCAGACAAAACTGAAAAAGAAGTAAAAGAAGTGGATGCCAACAGCAAAAAATTGGGGGGGAAACTGCAGGTCATCGGAAAAAAGAGTTTGATGGAAGAGTCTCAATTGTTACAGCTACAAATGGAGAGAGCAAGCTATGTCTTAAGGTTTCAAGGTGTTCCTGAAGATAAGACTGAGAATCTGAAACAGACTATGTGTGATGCATTAGTCCCTTTGGCAGATATAAAAGCGGACACATTACAAAGCAAAATAGATATGATCTATAAATCTTATCCTGAATTTATAAGAAAAAATAATCTGCCGGGGGAAGTGATTGTGAGATTCTTGAGAAGACAAGTGAGAGACCAAATTCTCAATGCAACAAGTGGATCTAGCTTGAAAATCAAAGACAAAGAAATAAAAGTGTTAAAGGACATACCATTCGAAATAAGGAGAAGGAGGAAATATAGAGACCTAGTACTATTCCTACAAAAGAAAAGCATTCCCTACAGATGAATGACACCCGAAGGCACAATCTTCAGATTTATGGATAAGAAAGAAAAAATTGACTCTGTTGAGAGGGCACAAGAATTTTTGGATCTACACAGTCATCCACCAGGGAAGAAAGAACCTAAGAAAGAAGACAGTACCAATGAAAGTGAAGAAGAAGGGGCAGCGACAGAATCAGATGAGGATCTGGACTCTAAGTTAGGGGCAGCTGCCCCAAAGACATCATGTGAGAAAACATACAGATAAGAAAAAATGAGATGTTATTACACTCTGAAAACTCTATATATTTTAGTAATTAATTCTTATAATGCTTTTTAAAATAGGACAAAACTAGAGGTGATTCAAGTCATTATATAAGCTAAAAATAATTGATAGATGACCACAGTCAATGTATTGTTATAGAGGGTTTTCTTTAAAGCTAATTTTAATAAGTTGTAGGTATGACCACCATCTTTTGGGTTTTTAGTGGGTTTTCTTTACTTTATCCCTTAGTAAGTAGTTACCCTTCTTTCATTTTAGATTATTAGTATGTAGTTTTTAGAAATGCAAATTAAAAAATCCCCTACAGGGGGCTAAAAAAAAATTTCCTCCAGTTTTCAAAGTGTTAGTAGCAACTGTGAGGAAGGGGCAATTTGGATCAGGACTGTGGTGGGTGGAGGAAAGGCTTAATCCCTACCCCAAAACCATTTTCTCAAATGAGAAAAAAAATCATGCAAACTGCCATTTATCCTGTGGCTAACTATATAACAGCCTTCCCCCGTGGGGCAACTGGCCCTAGGGTGGTAGAAAGAGAATGGTTTGTGGGAGGGGGATTGACTCATCTCTCCCCACATACCATGGCCTAGAACCAGGTCAAGGCCTCCTGCCGCTGCTACTAACAGTTTTAAAAACTATGGAGGATTCATTCACAGTTCTTCTGTAATAATATCTGGTCTGCCACAAAGCCTGTATTTAAGGGAAAGTATGGCTGGTTTGGCATAACAGCAGCTGGAAGAAAAGAATTCACACAGTTAAAAAAGTATAAACACTCTGCAGACAGTTTCCCTTTCAGTAGTTCTCCCCTCACCCACCCCCCAACTCTACATTTTTAAGCCTGGGAAAATTTAAAAAGCAGGGTAGCCCAATCTCATAAGATTTTGGAAGGTAAGCTTGGTCACCTCTGATTAGTATTTGGATGGGAGATCACAAAAGAAGTCCAGAGTTGCTGTGCAGAGGCAGGTAATGGTGAGCCTTCTCTTAACATCTGTTGCCTTGAAAACCCTATGGGGTTGCCATAGGTTGGCTGTGACTTGATGGCAAAAAAGGAGGGGGGAGACAGACTAAAAATAACTCTGGTACCCTCCACCCTTGCTTCTAGCTGTTAGTTTTTAGCTCTAGCAAACTCAAGATGACTAGTGGTTGAAAGAGGATTAGATCAAGACTCCTGAGACCAAGAATAACTAGAGGTCCCTACGCTAAGAAATGCTGAGTTAGTAGTCTTACTATACACTTAAATTTAGCTCTACAAAGCATCATGGGGGAAAAATAGGAACATAACAAGTTGTAGATTTCCATGGACAGAAATGC